AAAAGAAGGAGGTTTAGCACACAACTTAGTTTAGTAACGGTAGTTACACCTTTTTTAAAAACACAAATGTGTGAAAAAAGGTGTTTTTATGCGATAAAAGTATGATGTTTTTGACTAAACAGGAGAGCGCGCGCTGGCGACTTGAAAAACCGACTTGAAAACAATGTGTGCTCGCGTCACTTTCAGCCAATCACGAATCGAGAAATAACGCATTCCCCCAGAGTCTCTCACGCATTGACAACCACTGGATGGCAAAAGTGCGGGCTCTGGGTACGAGATTGCATGAATGTCAATTCATGCTTAGCGACTAATAAGATTTAGTTATCAACTAAGAATTTAGTGAGGCATAAACAAAGACAAGTTTCCTTTCTGGCAAAGTGTTCATGCCCCGGTGAATTCTTGGTTAGTTGATAACTAAATCTTATGAGATGTTGATAGTTAGGAATTGTTTCACGCTTTTTTGTGTGCACTCTACAGTTTTACCATTTTAAGGTTGTTTTAGTACTTTTTTTAGCAGCTTTATCTTAGTGGAAGTTCACTCAGCAGGCCATATGGCTCCAACATAATATTATAGTTTATACACACTGTTACTGGTATCCATGGTATATATTCCAGTACAATGTAAACATGGAAGTGGATTGAAAACCAAAAACAAAGCAATTGGCTCATGACATGAATTGAGAAATTGTAGAGATTTGTCCCACAAAAGTCACTAGTATTATTTGTGGTATAATTATACCTCATTTTTTGTAAACTCTTATTAACTTTAAAGGCTCAGTTTGCACCATCAAGCTTTGTGCACATCTGTTATTGTTATGATTTACACAAAGTCTTGATTAGTGTTAACTTACTGAAGATTTCTTCCCAGGTACCAAAAGGTCATGTTTGGTTGCTAGGAGATAACCCTGATGACTCTACAGACTCCAGAGATTATGGCCCAGTCCCCTATGGGTTGATCAGAGGAAGGGTCTGTTTCAAGGTATGTATTTGTTGTTATTGTTGACAGTTTTATCTTTTTCTTCGATTGAGATTTGAGTCCCAGTTGAGCTCAATTAAGCCTAAATTGTACTGTAGCTGTAGTCAATTTAGTTTTTTGGAAGTCTGCCCAATGTACAGTACATTACATGTTCTACTCTCCCAAAGTCATTTAAATTTATAATGCATTTTACGTCTTGATATTATTTTCACCTAATTATTATTTTTTTTTTAACTTTACTTTTGTAACTTTAGGTTTGGCCTTTGTCAGAATTTGGTAGAATTGAATAAGTCACAATTATAAGGAAATGCAGTCGAATAACATCAGAAAAACAATGTAAAAATATAGGAAAAGTACAAATGAAAACACCACAATTCCACTTAGTTGATACATCTACAATGTATTTAAAGGGGCAGAAATCAGTGAAAAAGATGTACTCGTTATCCAGAG